GTTAGCAAATGGCCTTAGAGTAGTCTGAGTACCAGATCCTTCTGCCAATGAGATCCATGTTCATACCAGAGCAGTGGCGCTAGCTCTCCATGCTGTAGCTGCATATTGGTCTCTGGCTAGACTCCGCATGTGCTGTCTAGTTCTGGTTCTTCCTGTATCATCATTGTAAGTTGGTGGCTATACTGCTTCCTGACATATATGAGGACACTTTACTCTGGTTGCAGTAACTAAAAATTCCTCTGAAACTCAGACTTTCCCTGCCTCGACCCCATTGTTTTTGCTCTTGCCTTTTCTGGGTTAAACTACAGGTCCACACTGAAGGCAGCTTGCGGGCAGGCTTTCTAATACACTGAAATGACAGCCTATTACTCCGGGAGGGCCTGAAGTTGTTACGTTTGGAAGGATCAGAAAGTCATCTCTGGTTTAAGAGAGAAATTCATCCTACTTCCCACAGGCTGAGTTCCACCTGGAAGGCTCTGCTTTTTTCTAGGTAAGGCTTTTACACTTGCCCCTTCTTGCCTATATTCAGTGCTGAAACCCTATTTCTTGAAATGTAGTTGAGTCCTGTATCACAGTGGGAAATGTCCTGGGTTTCTGCCTCTCTCCCATGTTGCTCAAAGTCTTCTTGTCCCACCCTGGGAAACTGGGCAGTTTTATCACTCAAACCACCCTTATCGTTTAAGTGTACATTCCTCCAACTCTTATCTATTACTACTTACACTGCTTGCAGCTCTGACGCCCAAAACTACTTCAGTGGGTCTAACTGATTAACTATTTCCTGCCTTAAATGTGGCTACAAGGCTAGGTTAGAATTCCATTTTCCAAATCCTGGGCTTTATCCAGAGGGAGGTGCTAATTTTTGTAGATGTTGTTAATGATGAACCAAGAATCTGGCTGACAGCTGCCTTCTAAGTTTGGGAAATAGTGACTGTGGTTTAGGCAGCAGGAAACAGCCAAAGAACCATGGTTAGACTCTGCAATAAGGGCTAGTGTTTCCTGGAAGGCCTCAATTCTAAGTATTGTGTCTCAGCAACAAAGTTTAGACTCCAGATTAGACTTGCATTCTTCCTTGCCTCTTCTACTTTCTTTCCTTCTCTTCATCTGTCCTCTCCTAAAGATAACTTGAAATAACAGTCCAAACATTGTCCCTTGCTCCCCAATAGCCAGACTTGACCAACTAAATGGTAAGGAGATGTCTATGGGAGGAACCACATTCTGGTCTAAGATGTACCCCATGCATATTCATTGGGACACATCCCTTTCTCTGGTTTGGCCGTATATCACCCAGAGTTTTGGAGGCTTAGCCATGAAACTTGCTTTCTTGGAAGATATGAAGTGGCAAGATTTCCAGGACTGCTATCTGCATTTTTTTTTTTGGGCTGGGGGGGAGATGACGACGATAACTAACTCTGGCTTCCCTGCAGGGATCAGGATATTAGAACTAGAGCTCACTGAGGGATCTAAGCCTGCAGAGATAGACTTAACATCTCTCTACTTTGAGCCCTGGGAGGAATCTTGAGTGATCCTAAATTGCTCCAACTAGTTCATTCCTCTCCTTCCCTGAAAGATCCCTCTGGGGAATCTGAGTCAGGCAGACATGGGCTCAAATACAGATTTTACTTTCTATTACCTTATAGCAGGCCCAGAACCTCCTCTTGGACCTAGAGTTCTGTCTTTCTTGGTTATAGATGTCTGTCTTTGTTAACTTCCTGTTGCTATAACAAAATACCTGAAATAATAAACTCACAAAGGGAAAAGTTTATCTTGGCTCACAGTTTTGGAGGTTTTGGTTCATGACTGAATGGCCTTACTGTTTTCAGGCTCGTGGAGAGGCAACACATCATGGAGGGGAGCATGTGACATAGCAAAGCCGGCATGTGACATAGCAAAGCTGGTCACCTCATGATGGCTGGGAAGTGAAAAGGTGTGTGTGGGGGTCCTGACATCCCAATATCCTCTTCAAGGGCATGCACACCCGTTAACTCGAATACTTCCTGAGAGGCCCCACCTCTTAAGGTTTCTACCGTTTCCTAATATCACAAAGCTGGGAACTAAGTCTTTAACACATGGGCCTTTGATAAATGTTTAAGATTCCAATGACAACACTGCCTATCTTCAGAAGGCCTTATTCGCTGGTGCTGTTGTTTCTTCCTTGACTTGAAACAATCTCAAGTCTATCTCATGCTGTGTGTGCCTGGAACAATGATGAACTCCTCAGGAGCATTATTTCACTTAATTTTCAAAATGGCAGTGTGAAACCAGTGTAATTATCCCAGCATACAGTCAAGTCTGAAACTCACTGAGATAACTTGCATAAAATCACAGAACTTTTAAAAGCAAGGGAGGTCAGGACTGGACCTCAGGTCTTTAAGGGTTGAAAGAAAGTAATGCACTAAATGGAAAGTGAAAAAGGCTTTGGAGTCAGATACCTGAGCTCAGTTCTTGGCTGCAAGAACTTATATAATTCCCTTAAGCTTCCTCAGCTTTCACTTTCTTCATCTGTTGAAAGAAGAATGTTTCTATGGAAGTGTCCTGAGAGCAAAATGAATTAATGCCTATCACAGAGCTCCAGGAAGAATTAGATTTCATCATCACCCCTTCTATCACCTGGCTCAGTCATCTTCCAACCACATAATCCTGTTCCCAGTCCAAGAAGAGAAATCAGGCAGGAAGAAGAAAGAAAGCAGTAAGTACTGTGCAAGCACACAAACTTTCTAGAGTGACTAAGCAAAGGGATTCATGGGGACAGCAATATTAAATCTGGACCTGACATGCTTTGTCAGGTTTCAGGAAATGAAAAATATATCTGGTAACTCCAGCTACAGAGGCGTTGAGTGGGGTGATGAAGGTGTAAGTGTTCTGTAGGTTAAAGGGCTATAGCATGTGGTGTTTTTCAGGCTATGCCTACATGCTAGGTTCTAGGTTAAGCCTGGACAGTTCTTAGGCTCACAGTCCACATTTAAAGAGGCTGGACCCAGTGAATCCCCCACCCTGCTCCTGCTGCCTCTGTTAGTCATCAGGAGTATATGCCCTTGCTGATGGGGCTAACATTGGGGCAGCCTTCATTTTTCCCTTCAGAAGGAATGGTTGAGTGTGCTGAGGTCCTGTGGGCAAGCCTATTTCTGCCCCATGGAAAAGCTGGCATGAGAGAGTAAGGCCCAATATTTTCCTTCAGCTCTGCAAACCAGTTGGGATTCTATTTTTAACCAGCACTGTCTTAGGTTGACAGCTCAGTATGCCTTCTCTTTCCTTTTCTTCCTTCCTCTAGCCTCTTGCAGCCCAGAACCCTGTAGAAATGATGGATGGGAACAATGCCAAAACTGGTAAATAGAAGACCCATTCTCTTTTCTCACTGTCCTTCACTTCATCCAGCCTTTTTCCAGGGTGGCTAATGGGTGGATTTTGGAGGCACATTCGCTGTAAATCTAAGGAAGTTTAAGTTTCAAGGTTCCTGACTTGCATGATCCCTTTCCAAGCCTCTGGTCCAGGTCCTAGCATTTTATTTCTATTAATTTTATTTTTCTTTCACAAGGGCACCAACATTTTGCATACTTCAGATCCCACAAAACTAGGGTCTGCCCCCTCATGGATGTGGCTTCTTTCCCATCTCCAAGTCAGTGTATGTATCAATATAGTTATTTCTGTTTTGCTCTAATTTATTGCATAACTTTGTGCAGCTTTCATTCTTCTGGGTTTGTTTCCACTATCTGTTATTAGATGAAGTGTTAAGGAACTCCTCTCCCAATACTGTGGCCTTGATTATCCATGTCTGTCCCCTCTTGTTCTTCTCTGCTTATCATTGTGTGTATACAGGTTTGTTGCTGGTCTTTGCCTTTCTTTGAGGATAGATTAGTTTTATAGTCAAATGGGAGGCTGGGCTCTGAGAGGCCTATTCAGGTCTAGCCCCTACCCATCCATGCCCTTACCTCAGGCCTCTTTGTTCTTGTATTTAGTAAGCGTGCTTCCATTTGGCAGAATCTTGGCCAGGTTTTGATACTGAAGGAGAGCAAGTATGCAATAAAAAAGATCCTACTCTTTAATTAACTTTTATATACCTGTCATGGTCTGATCCTAAGTGTTTCAAACACACATTGAATAATTCAAATCTTACTATATAGTGGTTCTTTTATCTTTTCACCAAAATTTTAATAAGCATCCATAAATATAGTACCCTAATAATGTCACCATATCAGAGAATGTGTTCAGGAATCATGATAGATCAGTGACATTCTATCTCCTACTCCCACTCTCAGCTACAACACTGGAGTGTAGGTAGCTTCATGATGACAACTATAGAGAAAACACCCAGCCCCATCTAGTCTCCCACAATAGGCTTCCTGGGGTTCATACACAGGAGTGGGTAACTGTGGTAGGGACCTGATAGTAAGGAATTCACAAAATCCCATACCACCTCACCAGCCCTCAAAAAAGTCCAGGAAGTCCAGGAGGAAGCCAAGTCATTTATTATTTTTGTGAAGAGCTCTGGCAAGGGAGGATGTGGCAGGGCTACTACACCTAACTAGAAAGGGATGGAGGGACTTTTCAGTGCTAAACTGCCTGTTGGCCAGGTAAGTGAGATTAGGCCTGTTGGTATTTTCAGTGCTGGTTGAAGAGGGACATAAGGAGGTCAAACTGGGTACATCCTGAGTCAGTCCAATGATACTGAAGTATCAGTGCCATTGATGTACATTTGTGTGAGGAACAGGTCAACCCTTGCCTGAGTTGCCACTATATTGGGATAATTCACTGCTAGGGATGCTGTGTCTGCCTGTCCGATGTTTCTAGGGAGGGGGTCAGTCCCATAACAGAACGTTCCTCCTTTCTTGTATAAGGCTCCATTTTTGTCTCTTTTGTCAGGAAAGCTACCATTTTCTGTGTGCTGGGGTTAGTCCATGCTGTTAGGTGTCAGTCTATCTGTGTCAATGTGTTTTTTGTGTGTCTGGATGAATCTGTGCTTGTAGGGATAGTCTGTCCTGCCTCATCCTCCACTCCCCTGCCTCTCAGCCAGGTCCCAGTGTACTGATGGTGGTGTAGCTCAGCCTGGACAGTGAAGCAATTGAAGGGGTAGGAGGGTCCTCATCGGGAAGAGGTCGGGGGCGAGCTCGTGGAGGTTTAGGACAGCAGCGGGCACATGTGTCCAGGCAGGCCTGGCGAAAGCGACGGTGCATGAAGCAATAGACCAGGGGGTTGACGCACGCTGAGGCATAGCTCAGCAAGTGGATGAAAGAGATGGGAGCCCCTGAGAGTGCCCGGTGTGCCCCTGGGCCATCAAAGGCGCGCCATGTGTTGGCACTATACACTGGCAACCAACACAGGAAAAAAAGCACAACGATCACCAGCAACATTCGCACCACTCGCTTCTTAGCCAACAGCTTGGCCTGGGTGGGCCGGGGTCCAGGTCCTGGCCCAGGAGTGGGTGCCGTCAGCGCTGTCAGCTCCAGTGCAGGCCGGGAACGTGGAAGTTGCACATAGCAGCCATCGCTGTCCTCACCGGCCAGGCTAGTCTCAGGCTGGCAATGCCCATTCTGGTGGACAGGACCTGAATCCAAAGGATTGGTGGTCAGAGTAGAAGGTGGAATCCTCTTACCCTCCAGTCCAACCCTCACTTGACATCCACTCCCAGCAATAACCCTCTGTTCCAGCCTCCTTTCCACAGTGGAAGCCCTACCCACTCAAGGATCCTCCCTTCCCCAAAGCTCCACCCCTCCTAGATTGTGCCTACCTGGGGCAGCCCCTCCTGGCAGCCCTCCTTGGGTTCGGACCCTGTTTTTGCTTTCACTGTCATCATCACCTTCAAAGCGAAGCCCTAAGTAGAGCTCTCGGGAGATAAGCCCATAGGCCACAGCCATAACCACACCCGGGACAAAGAACAAGAGCAGGAGCAGCAGTACGGACCTGGAGGTAGAACACAGATCACACACATAGGTCCAGCCATAGTCACAGATGGAGGAAGAGCCAAGGATTAGTGTTTCTAGGGCTGTGGCTAGACAGCTGCAGCAGGAGGAGGATTTGGGGTGCCAATACAAAGGGCAGGAGAACTGGGGATGGACCCTAAACTGGAATTACAGGGTGGTGAGGTCAGGATGGGAATTGGAAGGTGGGGTAATCTTAGCGCACTCGGAGGATTGTTCTGGGGAATGGGCATAAGCATCTGATGGAGATGGAAAAGGGAATTCCTAAGAAAGGGTCATGGACACTCTCACCAGGTCTGGCGGACCCGTGCACTGGGCCAGCGATGCACGCACTGTAGCACACGAGGCCCCACTGGCTGCACAGCAGTGTACACAGGGTAGGGTACCATGAGCAGGCCTGACAGCAGCCACGTGGCTAAGATCACACGAGCCGCGTGGGAACGCGTCTGCCACACCCGTGCCTGCAGTGGTCGGCAGATGGCGCTGTACCTTTCCAGGGCAATGGCCACAAGGCTTAGCGTGGACACACTCACAGACACCCCTAAGTGAGGGAAAAGGATGGGGTCATCTTGGAATGTTGCAGCACACACTCCCCAGTGTGATTTCCTCACCACCCCGCCCCCCGTGAGGAAAGACCCCTATATTTGTCAGGGACTTTAGCAAGGGAGAGGGTGAAGGGAGTGTGGTGACTGTCTCACCTACCCATGAGGTAGGAAACTGCTTTGCAGATGACTGTGCCAAAAATGAATGTGCCCATGAGATTGGGAAGGAGTGTGAAGGGCATACAAGCCACAGCTAGCAGGAGGTCGCTGACTGCCAATGAGAGCAGGAAGGCGTTGGTGACAGTTCTCAGGCGGCGGCTCAGTCCCAGGACCACGATGATGAGCACATTTCCTCCAACACTCATCAGAAAGATCACTGCATAAAGGGTGACTCTAATGGCAAGCTCCAGTTCTGGGTAAAGAAGGAGAGGCAGTAGTAGAGGATCTGGCCATACTCAGCTAGACCCCAGTCCCTCTTACCCCAACTCTCTCCACCCAGCCAGATTCCTACATCTGGAGAACGTTCTTCCTCCACCAGGGATGCCTCAGAAAATGGTGAACTTCAATTCTTTACCGTTCATTCTAACTCCTTGAGCTTAGTTAAATTGGCCCAAATTTGCCCTTCCTGAAGAAAGCCAGTCTCTTCTCAAGGATTGTTCCAAATGCTTACTTTTCTTTGCAGCCAATTTTCCCGAAAGGATTATTTTGGGTTTTCCCAGGCACTCAATCCATTTATAATTCAGGCTCTGTCCCCATCACTGCTTGGACACTTCTTCCCCAAATCACTAATCTGTAATTGCTAAATCCACAGCTCCTTCTTAGAGTTTTCTATTAGACCTCCCTGTACTATTTGACACCATTGATCATCCACTACATTTTTGTTGTTGGTGGTAGTGGGGTTTTGAACTCAGGGCCTCACGCTTGCCAGGCAGGTACTTTTTTTTTTTTACCATTTGAGCCACTCCGCCAGCCCTGTTTTTGTCTTGGGTATTTTCGAGGTAGGGTTTCATGAACTATTTGCCAGGGCTGGCTTTGAACCATGGTCCTCCTGATAGCTGCTTCCTGTGTAGCTAGGATTACAGTCATCAGCCACCAGCACCCAACTTCACCTACTACCTTTTGAATCATATCAGATCATCTCTAAAATGCACAGCCTCTCCAAAACAAAATAAAAAAATCCTTCACTGCTCTGTACTGTCTGCAACCCAACTTGTCATGAAGATCCCCTCAAACTGCCCTCCCTCCTCCTACCTCTTCCCTGCATTGCACCCACTTAAGCCACTGGATGACTCAGTTTCTTGAATGCATCATGTGTACTCATGACTCCCTCCCTGCTCAAGTTGGTTTCTCAGCCTAGAATACTTTTTCACCAATCCCCTACTTCCACCTCCGTCACAAACTTATTTTCTGTATCTGGCAAATTCCTGTTTATCCCTTATTCATCTACACTCAGATCAGACTGCCACTTTTTCTGGAAGGCCTATCAGGACACCTGTGACCCAGGCATGTTCCTTATACATCTACTATTATAACCCCATTTGTTTTTCTGCTTTGTATTTTAATTATCTCCAACATTCATTTTCAGTTAATAAACATTTACAGAGGACTCTCTTTGTGCCAGGTACTGGGGACAAAGGGGTGAATGTCACAAACTCCTGTCCATCTGAGAGCTCACAGTGGAGAGGGAATCTCAGGTATGCAAACAGATAACTGCCATGTAGTGTGATAAGGAGTGAGGTGGAGGGATGTAAGAGGAGCAGCTGTGGGAGCTTGCAGGAGGGTCACTAGTGTTGCTGGGCAATTCAGAGGGGCAAGGAGCCTGACTCCATTTATTTGTGTCATTGTCTATTGGGACATGGATTCATCTTTGGACCTCCATATCACTGCCATGTAGACCTACACAAAGTTGCATTGAATTGAACTGGACTGAGTCACCATGGCCTCTGTGTTAGGGAAACTGGAGCTTGAAAGGAGAGAGGGCACGCCTACCAAGATGTGGGGTGGGAAGGGCCCAGAGGTGTAGCCCTCTTTTTTCTAGCCCTTACGTTGGCTGACTTGGCTTAGCTCCCAAATTGTACTGTTTTCTTGTAACAATAACCAACTTATTTAGAAGTTGTTGCAGACATCAAGTAAGCACATTTATAAGAAATCCTTAAACTGCACTAAGCAGTAACATTACTTGCTCAGGACCATACAGCTAGGAAGGGGCTGAATCAGAATAGAAGCCTGTGCCTCCCACAGATACCCCACTGCTCTGTCATTTTTCACAATGCCTACTCCCAACAAATCTCCATCTAAATGCCTCTTTCTTCCTCTCTATTCTATTATGGTATTTCTCACACTATTATTATATTTACTTCTCTATCTTGCCCAACAGACTCTGGGCTTCTTGGAACTCAGTCGATCTCATCCTCCACTATATCCCTAACACTTAGCATAATGTCTAGCACATATGAGGCAGTCAACACATGCTTGTTAATGAATCTTGAATGAATGTCTTTCAAGACAGAAATGTACCTGCTCTCCCCCTCCTCATCCATCCCTCATTTCTGTAAAGATGCTCCAGCACCTTCCTCCATTTGCCCTCCCCTTTCCCTCTTTGTCTCTTTGGAGACATGTTAGAGAGGCTGTGATTTTAGAAGCATTACTTTTGTTATTATATACATAAGCTCTATGCCTCCTTTAGAAGCTGGGCCTCTGTCTGTAAGGAAAGCTTATGGAAGGCTTATATGTGACAAATTTGAGATGTGTGTGTGTGTTTAAATGTGCTTGTACATGATGAAACTTCAGAGGGGGAATCTCTGTCAGAGATCCTTAGACTCAGAAAAATGAGCTGGTAGTGTTTTTTGCACTCTCTGTGTTTCTCCAAGTCCACTGTTTCTGCATCTCTACCTACCACCCAACTCCTTAACTCTCTAGTTTCATCTTTCTCACATGTCCTCTGGATCTCTCTTCAACTAATTCTTGATGCAATCACCATATCTTAAATAGGTGAAGCCCTCTGACTTGTGAAAAGTGCATTTCTCATTCATTCATCCAGCTGATAAGTTCCATGTGAGTGCTGTTGGCATGGCTAATTGAAGTACACCAGAAAGATGAAGCTGGGCTTCACCTTTATGAAGTTCCCAATATACTTGGGGACTCCTGACAGCTAGAGGCCAATGTTCCAGTAAAAATGACCAACAATTGTATAGCACTTTGCTATTCCTACTTATTATCTTATTCCCAGCCATTGCTATCTCTCCAGGTGCTTGTTGTTTATCAGTTAGGAGACATGAAAAATTCTAATTAAAAGCAGTCTTAGAGCTGAGTTTGAGGACAGGGAGAGAGAATAGGTTATTTTTAGTGTAGTGAGACTATTTTGAATGGTATTGTATTGGTGATTACATGTCATTACACATTTGTCAAAATCCATAGAACCCTAATGTAAACTATAGAATTTAATTAACATGTATTAATTATGTATTTAATTAACATGCATTGGGTCATCAATTGTAGTGAATGTGCCACACTCATGCACAATGTTAATAATAGGATAAGCTCTGACTTGTGTGTGAGTGTGTGTGTGTGTGTGTGTGTGTGTGAGATAGGGGTGAGTACATGGGAACTCTGTGAATTCTGCAAACCCACAACTACCCTAAAAATAGTCCATTAATTTGAAAAGGTCATATGTAGCTGGGATGATGACTTATGCCTATAATTCCAACACTGGGGAGGTTGAGGCAGGACCTCAACATTCCAGCCTGGGCTATAGAGCAAGACTGTCTCAAAAAAAAAAGTCATTATATACAAACTAAATCAGAATTAAGAGATGTGTGTGTATCTATTCGTGTTGTATGCTGGGATAAGTGACCACAGTGGCTTCAGTGACCAGAAACCCATGTGGAAGGAGAAGGCAGCTCCTAGGGTACAGTCAGTCACTAGTGCCTTGAGTGTCTTCCCTTAGGCATAAGCTTCCTGGGGATAAGAGTAGAGCAGAAATTAGACCAGGAGACTTAGAAGACTGGGGCAGTTCAGTCTTCTGGATCTGGAAGATCTGCATTTCTTCTGTCCAAATGATGGCAGAGAAGTATAAGCACAAAAATCCAGACAATGTTACATAAAACAAAAGCCAGGCTTTTCTCAGAAAGGACTTTGCAGATTACTGAAGCTGCTGATGACTCCAGTCTTGCTTTCCACTGGTGTGTTGGATCTGGTCACCCATGTGCGTGGACATTAATATAATACACATATATGTACCTGTGGTGAGCATGGATAGCATGCAATGGACTGTGGATGAATTGGAGCAATAGAAATGTCAGTGGGCACCAACTATGACAGCAAAAGTAATAAGCAAAGGTGTATAGGTAAAACCAGAGTGGGCACTGAATAATAGTTTTGAGATGATACTGGGATGAGTAAAAGTACTCCTTATTTCTCTGGGTGATATCTATTGGCAGTATCAGATTGAGTGTGGAGTGCATTTAAATTTAGATAATATTTGAGTAAGTGTTATAATGCTGGAAATACATAAAGGTGATATCCAAGTCTGTAGATAACATCTCATTTTGTAGGTAACATCTTCAGAAAGTATGGATTATATTCAGAAATCTGTGTGTGAATGGGGGAATATCCAAGTGTTGATAGTAATAGCTGAGAGTAAAAGTAATATTCAAATATATGTGGACATTATGTAAATGAGTGTAGATGTCAGATATTACATTAGTATGCTCAGTTAATATGTGAATCTTGTGAAATAACTGGCCGACTAAATAACCACAGGAAATATCTGAATTTTTGCTGGTAATATCTGAGAGTTTGAGAGTGTTATCTGTGATTTTTCTGGGTAATATCTGGAGAAGGATTACTTAAACAAAGCAAGGGAAATACATGATCACATGTAGATAATAATAAAATGAAAGTGAGTAGTATTTAACAGCTAATATCCAAATGTCTGTAAGAAATATCAAATTTAGTGTGGGTAACACCTGTCTTTCTGTGAACAGCATCTGAATAAACTCAGATCTGCAGGTTTAATAAGAATGAAATGGGTAACATCTAAATTTTTATTGGTAACATTGGTGTGAGCCTGGATAGTACATGTATCTGTGGGGGTAATATCTGAGTGGCTAACGGAGTCTCTGTGTGTAACATCTAACTAACTGTGTGGATAACATCCCAATATGTGTAAGCAACAACATGTAGATAACCGAGCTCTGTTCCTGCACCTGGACTGTAAATCACTTCACACTTGCCTTCTCAGGGACCCTTGCTCTATGGACTATATTCCTTCTCATCAGAACCTTCAAACATCTTCTCTTTTGGTCCTTCTCTATACTTAAAAAAAAATAGCTAGGGGTGTCATAAGCCTATTGTCCCAGCTACTACTGATGTTGATGTGAGAGGCTTGCTTGAGTCCACCAGACAGAGACCAGCCTAAGGGACATAATGAGATCCCACCTAAATTTAAAAAAATGCTCTCATCTCTACTGCCCCCCCCGCCCCGCCCACATTCTCTCTTCCTAAACCCCATACTATTTCTGGCATTATCCTATTTTTCTTTCTCTTCCCTACTGGCCCATTCTTTGACCTATTATAGACAGGTCCTCCTAAGGACTTACCATTGATTCTGCATGCTATCCTGGATGTTTTGTTCTTATCTGACTTGTATCAATCAGTAGTATTTGACATCATTTACCCTGCCTTATTTAAAACTCTCTTTTTCCTTGCGTTCTAAAAGGACATAGTTCTGTCCCTCTGACCATTTCTTCTGATTTCCTTCATTGATTTTCCTTCCTCTGCTTATCTCTTAAATATTGATCTCCTGCAGGGTCCTATCCCAGGATCTCTTTTCTTCTCATTTTGTATTATCTTTTTATGATTTTATCTTTTCCTATGGCTTACATTACCTCCTCTAGGCAAAAACTTTTTCAAGTCTGTATTTCCAGCTCAGATCTCTACAGTAAGTTCCAGACCCTTGGATTCAACAGTTTACTGGATAACCTCACCTGGATGTACCACCAGCATTTAAACTTGGTGGGTTCCAAACTGAACTTAGAATCCAAACTTGCTTCAACAGAAGCAAATTTGTCATCTTTCTCATTACACAGTACCGAAATGTATTCAATTCTCCAAGCAAGAAACCTGGATGTTATCCCTTGACCTCTTCCACCCTCTCCATAGTTAATCAACTGCCGAATTCTGTTGATTCCATTTCCAGAAGTGGCTCTTAAATCCATCCACTTCTCTCCAACCCCACTGCCAGTACCTCAGTCTAAGCTAGTATCATCTTTCACCCAGATCTGTGTAATGTAATAGCTTTCTAAAGTATCCCCCGCATTCTATCTCATCCTCCAATCCATGCTCTACACTACACAACAAATCCTGGCAGTACTACTGAATCTTTCAGTACTTCCCATTGTCTTCAGGACAAAATCCACATTTCCTTAGTTAGGCCTATACTGCTATCTGTAAATACTCTAGGCTACTTTCAGCCTGGGTGTTTATTATTTACGTGTTGCAGTCACTCAGGCACTATGTCATACTAATCAAAAGTGCCAATGATTTAAACTTTTTACACATCTACCCTTCGGTTAGGGTACTGTTTTTTTATTTTTTTTCTTCTTCTGCACTTTCACTTGACTGGCTCCTCCCTATCTCTTTGATTTCAACTTACTACCTATCTCCTCAGGAAGCCAACCTTAAATTCCCAAGGGCAGGCAAGGCTGGAGGTGCTCCTCTTTTGTCCCTACTATCTGCTTAATACTGTTCCCTGTGCTATAAGCCACTCCTTCCTTTTCTGCTTATTGAACTCTAGCTTCAAGACAAATCTCCCAGATTCCATCATCTGTGAGGTTCTTACATCCCAGCTTCTTTGGGTACCCACAATTCAGACCCTCTTATAGGACTTCCAGGCTGTCTGTGATTTTTCCACTGGCTTGCACTTGACTATGAACTGATGAGTGAGCAGACTGAGTCTAGCTCATCCTTGTTTCCCAAGCACTTAACTTAGCAACTACAATTGCAGGTGTTCCATAAACACTGAAAGTAAAGAAGGTTGCAGAAGGGAAGAAAATGTATTTTAAGAGGTTCATCAAGACAATGAAGATATTAGCTGAGGAGTGAAAGTCACTTTGAAGACTGGACACAGTTTGACAGGGGTGGATGGGAAAAGATGCTGACTCAAAGGAATGGGGTGATGAAGGAGGCAGCTGGCTAAAGGAGGTGAGACCTAAGGAGAGGCAAGCTGGAGCCAGCTTGGAAGGACAAGAGCTATTCCCAGAAAGAAAATGGGCATAGAGGCTTGAAAAGAGCTAGGAGGCAGAGGAGTTTGAGAATGAGTGAAATGGAGACAGGTGGGGACAGGCAGCTCTAAGGATGAATCCCCCAGTGCTCAGCCTAATTTGGATTTGAGGGTCTTTATTGGGATGGCTGAGTTTGGGGTGGAGACACAGATTACATCTTTACCTTCTCATTCAGGCCTTCCAGAATGCTCCCTCCTCAACCAGCCAGCTCCCTTCTTTATTCCTTCCTTCCTTCCTTCCTTCCTTCTTTTCTTCCCTCCTTCCTCCCTTCCTCCCTCCCCCTCTCTCTCCTTCCTTCTTTCTTTCTTTCTTTCTTCCCTTCCCTATTGTGGTTCTGTGAACTGGATGTTAAAGGGAAAGAGAGATGGAAGGGCTGGCAACAAGATGTCCTTGCCTCCAACTATGTGAGCTGTGTGGTCTGTGTTTTGGGATGACCAGGGGCTCGGGGTGTATATGTGTGTGTGTGGGGGGGGTGGCATGTACAGGGCTCTGACTAGGTGTTGTGAAGGTGTGATGGAGTTTAAGAGCTGTGGGGTTCGAATGTGTGTGTGTATAGGAGCTGTTTGGGTGCTGAGGAAGTCCTATGAGGGGGACACCTTGGGAGTTAGACTAGGCCATGGGGGTCGTGGGGAGCTTCTGTTAGTGTTACGGGATGCAGTGAGAAGGAGCTTGTGGCGCGGGCTTAGGGAGGCACCCACCTCTGGTCCCGGTTCCGCGGACGCGAGGGAGCTCGCAGCTGAGGTTGCCCGTATTGCTGCCGTTCAGAAGGAGGCCACCTGGGCGGCACAGGGAAGCCCCTGGCCCGGGTCCAGGTCCCTGCACCGTCCGGTTCAGCTTGAGCAGTTCCATTGCCCCCGCCGAGCCAGCCGCCTCACTTAGCTCGGCCCGGCGGTCTCCCGCCGTGGTTCCACCAGCTCACACCGCAATTCTGGTTTAGGTTCCCGCCCACCCCATCCCCCGCCCCGCCTGGTTCCCGCCCCCAACCCTGGCCCCTGCCGCTCCACTCCTCTGCACGCCCGCCTGGGCTCCAGTCACTGCCAGGCTTTGGTCAGCCTCTGTCCCACCAGGTGACTCTGGCCCTCCTCCCTCACTCGGGAGTTATGCGCCTTCCTGTGTGATTGTTCTCCATTCTCGCCCCCTCCCTAGATATCTCCCATCTTCTCTTAAGGATGTCTTTTCTACCCACCGCTCTACCAACGCTTCCAATTCTGGGGAATTCTTGTGCTTGCGCGCGCACTTGTGTGTGTGTGTGTGTGTGTGTGTGTGTGTGTGTGTGTGTGTGCGCGCGCGCGCTCGAGGGCGTGTTGGTGGAGTGGAGGGAGACTGCGCGGGGAGGGAGGGTTCGAGTAGAGCGTAGCTGCTGCAGAGTCCAGCATCTTTCTCTGGTGGGTGGAAGGACGTGGAGGTGACGATGGTGATTGGGTTTGCCTTCTTGGGTCACCCGCTGCGGCGCAGGTGCCTTAGTCTGCCTGGCGCCGCGGTTGCCATACTGTGCCGCAGTGGCCACAACGACCGCGACCTGCCACTACCGCTACCCTAGTTTCGTGAAGTTCCTTGCTACTGGATGGGGTATCCCTTGCATCTGCCTGCGCACACGCGACCTCTTATCTGAGGCCCAACACCCAGGTTTCTACTCAAGAGTTCCAAGGAACCCCCAGTAATGGGGAGAGGGCGGGGGGAGGGCAGCATTTGTCCTCAGGGAAGACTAGGCAGCGGAAAGGGCTGCCAGGAGTACTGTCTGCTGGGTTGTGAGGGTGGTCTGCGCACTGACAGAGAACTGCCCAGGATAAACTGACGCTGGGTGAGTGTGGGATAGCGTTCCAACTCTGGCTCAGGGCCCAGGCAAAAGAGGGGAGGAGGCAGCTAGTTGACTCCGCGGTCTCCAGGCAGCGCCCACCTGTACCGGACATGCTGGTGGTGCTCCCTGTTTGCACTCAGTGCAGGTAGAGTCGCTGGTGTAGGGTGTCAGGTTCCCACGAGAGGGGGCCAGAAGGAGACTGGGTCACTGAGGTGCAGGGGGAACAAAGCTGAAGAGTGTGTGTGCAAGACCGAAGTGGGTTCAGCTCCTTGAAGCAGAACCTGCCTCCTCTATTTCAGCCCTGTTCCCTATCCATTATCCTCAATTCCAAAGAAACTCTACTATGAGCTGAAAGTCCATCTTCTGGCCCCCAGAAATAGCTGTAAGAAGTGGGGGCACCAGTGAAAGAGCAGACTACAGCGAGAATGGGGGTCTGGATTTATGGGGAACTCAAGAGTCCTTACCCTGTTATCTTTCAGAGAGGACCTGTTCCAACCAGCACTACCATTACAGGGACTGAAGCACGGAGAAGTGTTTAAGCCTGGGGTGTATGGGGGGTGTCATCTCCCCTTCCCTTCCTCCTGGCACTGCCTGCCTTGCTCACCTGAGAGCAGAGGAGCTTGGGTTGCTAGTTTGTTCAGCTCCAGCACAGGTGGAACCTCAGATAACCTGCTGAACTTTTCCCACATTGGATGACGGTAGTGTGTGGGATCGAGGGGAAAAAGGATATGTAGGGAAGAGGAGAAAGGACTGGAAATAGAAGTAGATGGGCATTCATTTATCCAGCAAACTCTATGTCAGATATAGGACCGTGTACTACCTGTCCTATACAGTCTGCCCTTGAATAGTTCCCACTCTAATGGGGATTTTTCACAAGTAAACCAGTGATTGTAGAATACAGTCATAAGTACATCCACTAAAATGCACAAAGAGGAAACTTAGGTATTAACCTTAATGCTTTACTTCTTTATGCTCCTTCACCCCCAAATGATGCTGTAACACAAAGCCTAGATTCCTTTTAAAAAATGAAGGATTTATTCCCTAGTTTCCAAGAGTGTTGCTGGAAGACAGCATTCAACTGTCAGCTCCCTTCAGGAGTTCTCTGAGCAGAAGAAAGCCAGCTCTTCCAAAGTCATGAACCCTTTCTGAGGCACCCTGCATCCAATGACCGATCAGCACAGAGTTATAAAGGCTCAATTCTCTCACCCCAACAAAGGATAACTTTTTTTTTTTTTTTTGCGGTGCTGGGGTTTGAACTCAGGGCCTCCATCTTGAGACACTCCAACAGCCCTTTTTGTGATGGGTCTTTTCCAGATAGGGCCTCACAAACTATTTGCCCAGGCTAGCTCCAAACCAGGATCCTCCTGATCTTTGCCTCCTGTGTAGGTAGGATTACAGGCATGAGCCACCGGCGCCTGGCCAGGACAACTCTTAAATCTGTTCACAACAGAGGTCCTTATGGCATTGACTTAGGTCTTTGTTGGGACTGAATCACTGCTCAGCTTCTCTCTTTAACCAGTCCTATTCTCATTCTCTCTCTTGCACAGGTGTTGACTTCAAGAGCACTCCTTAGTAAACATCCTTCACAGTAATCTCTGATTTAGAGTCTGCTTCCTGGGGAAACTAACTGCATCGTTCCCATATTCAATCAATCATGAAGTCCTGTTGATTTTAGCTACTGAGTGTTCCTTGACTCCATCTACTTGTATATTCACAGACATTACCCTACAGTCTCTTGCACTACTCTCATAGGCTTCTAAGTGAGCCACTATATTTTACTCGTGCATTCATCCTGCACCTAATAGCCAGAGTACTATGTTCAGAACACAAATTTGATTATGCCAATTTTCCAATCTTAAGCACAGAAAAAAAAAAACAGAGTCCATGAAGACTTCATAACCTGGCTCCTATTGACCTCTGTAGCCAGTTCATTTCAAGTCACTGCAGTTTTTGTTCTGTTACTGTCAACACATTCTAAAACTTAACAAATGGTCTGGAAAGAGTTCAGTGGCAGTTAGTGTAAGCGAACAACCTAAGGGGTGGGACCAATGGGAGTCCATGATAGTAATTCAGAGGAGAATTGACAGAAGCTTGAACTAAAAGCCTCAGAGGCAGTGGAGAAAATGGATGCAAGAATTGCTTGGGAAGTAAGGATGCAGAATTTAGAGACTGTTTACAAGTAGAGGGAGAAGAATGAGATAAAAATGAATAAGATCTCTGGTTACTGAATAGAAACTGTGTGGTAATCACTAAGTATGGCCCAAGCATGTTACCTTTAATTACATTTGTTCCTCACAGAGCACTATACGTTTAGGTTCAGTATTATTGATCACTATTTTAGATGAAAAAACTGTCATGCCTATAATCTTAGCTATTCAGGAGGCAGAGATCAGGAGGATCACAGTTCTAAGCCAGCCTTGGGCAAATAGTTAGAGAGACCCTATCTTGAAAAAAAAATCACAAAAAAGAGCTGGTGGAATGGCTCAAGGTGTAGGCCCTGATTTCAAACCCCAGTACCACAAAAACAAACAAACAAACAAACAAAAAAAAAAACCTGTGAGTCAGTGAGAGTTTAAGTAACTTTCCTAAAGCCAGAAAGTAACTAGGTGGACAAGCTAGAATTCAAAATCAGGGATTTTAGAAATAAGAACTCAGTTCTCATACTATTATAATGCTTCCCAGAATGAGTAGAAGTATTACTAAATAGATCACTTTCTTTCTCCCATTTTGCACAATTTTTTTCTCAAAATTTTCTGGACTCATGATCTCTCTATTAATCTCCCCCTCTGGTGCGTGCGCGCGCATGCACAACACACACACCACACACACACACACACACACACTCCTCTCATTTAATAACCTGGACTTCAACTTCACATAGAAAATAGTAACTAGCTGAGAGCAACTCCCACTAGCAAATCTATTCTGTTTGTGATATGTTATATTTCAGATGCTTCTCAGACATCTGAGTAGAAATTGTAATAAGAAGCTGAGTATCCAGGTTTTATAGGAAGTAATGCAATCCACAGAATTAATGAAAGTGTGTAGAATAAAAATGAATGAGACCAGATAAGAAGTTTGGAAACCTTTTCTTTTTCTTCCTTTGAGACAGGGTCTTGCTATATAGCTTAGGATGGCCTCGAACTTGAGATTCTCCTGCTTCAGCCTCCCAAGTACTGGGATTACAGGCAGTGGCGACCATACCCAGCCACAGAAGACCTTTTTTTTTTAAAGAAGCTAGAGACAAAGGGGAGGAAAACAAGGAAGTGAAAGCATCATAAAAACTAAAGGAGAGGAGGTCCAAAGAGAAAGTGCTGAACTCATTCAAATGCTGCTCCTGGATAAGAAAAATGAGGACTCAGAAGCATGCTACGAATTTAGTGACCTGGAGCTCCTTGATAACCTTGGGAAGAACCATTTCAGTGAGAATGTTAAGGCAGAAAACAGGGTGAGTGTACTAAAAACTGAATGTGACTGGAGGAACCTATGATTATTATGGAAAAGAAATTAACAACTATATTTCCTAGATGTTTTTGTAGCTTAGTGTGGCCTTATGACTAGGACAGTGTCTGTGGGTGAAAACGAAAAGTACAGCTTCCAGATCAAGGCCTTAAGGGAGAGAAGCAGACTCTCCCTGCTTCGTCATTGCCCCTTCTTTCAGGCTTACTGTGGATGTGAGAGTAAGCCATCTTTGATTATGAAGTGAGTGCAACACAGTAGGGGTGGCAAAGTGACAGGAAGGAAGGAGCCTGAGTCTCTCTCCTTTACTCTGAAACCATTTTACCAATCTTGGTTCTTTTGCATGAAAAACAAAAAGCTACAATCTATGTCTCTATAATTTTTTTCACGATTGTCATAGCAACCTAACTAGGATCTTAACTAAGACAGTATATTTGTAGATCTGATGGGAGGCTACTGTCTGATAGTTTTTATTTTCTCTGTGAAGTTGGAGATCTGGTTACCAATGAGTGGTGTGTGTGTGTGTGTGTGTGTGTGTGTGTGTGACATTTTAGGAGTTAAGCTAGTTTAAGAAAACTATATATAATGGGAG